GGACATCTTTTGGTTTTAGTAGTTTTTGTATCATGGCATCTGGCCCTCTCAATTCCTGGCAAATAAATGAGGAAGAAATGGAGGTAGTGACATATTTTATTTTCCTGGGCTCCAAGATCACCGCAGATGGGGACTGCAGCCAAGAAATTAAAAGATGTTTGTTCCTGGGGAGGAACGCTATGGCAAATCTAGAGAGCATACTAAAAAGCAGAGACAACAAAAGTGTGTATAGTCAAGGCTATGGTTTTCCCAGTTGCAATATACGGCTGTGAAAGTTGGACCATAAGAAAGGCTGAGCGCCAAAGAATTGAGGCCTTTGAACTATGGTGCTGGAGAAGACTCCTGAGAATCCCTTGGACTGCGAGATGATCAAACCGGTCAGTCCTAGAGGAGATCAACCCTGACTGCTCTTTAGAAGGCCAGATCCTGAAGTTGAAACTCAAATACTTTGGCCACCTAATGAGAAGGAAGGACTCACTGGAGAAGACCCTAATGCTGGGAACGATTGAGGGCAATAGAAGAAGGGACGACAGAGAATGAGGTGGATGGATGGAGTCACTGAAGCAGTAGGCGTGAGCTTAAATGGACTCCAGAAGATGGTAGAGGACAGGAAGGCCTGGAGGAACATTGTCCATGGGGTTGCGATGGGTCGGACACAACTTCCCAACTAACAACAGTTTTTATATACCTTACTTATAGATGGATTGTGACCTATAGTATCAGATGTAAGTCTGATATAAAAATTACCTTGATTTGTATGTGTATATTTCACTTAAGCAAAAGGATGAATTAATAGAAATAGCAATTCCTTACCTAGACCTGTTGTATGGATTTGTTTGTAAACATTTTTATCAACTCAAAAATATGAGATCAGAAATAGGCAATGTGCAACCCCAAATCTTTGCAATCTGAGTTCTTTCTTGAATCTTTTGCTCTTGTTTGCACCATAGCTATGATGAATCAGAAAGCAGAGTATTTTCCAGGTTCAGCTGCTTCGCCAACCATGAATAAAATTGCGCACTGGTGGCGGGAACTCTGTTTATTCCAGGGATCCTCAGATTTCCCCCTTCTGAAGTGAAGTCACCATCTTGTATCCATAATTTTTGGTTGCCTTAAAGTATGGCATTGGCTTCATTTCAAAACCAGGGCAGAATAGTAAAGATAGTGGAACACTGGTTGGAGAACAGTACACCATTTTTGTGCTCTCTCATTGGCCAGCTAGAGGCAGTACTGATCTACTCATGAGAAGCAATCATGAGGTGTACTCTGTAGGAGAATGAGAAAGATGCTGGAGGGGTGAGAATCAAGGGTATCTATAAATATAAATATATTTGTCAAGAAGATAGAACAGATCTACTGTTAATCTGCTGGAAGCCATTGTGATAAGAACCAGCATTTACCAATATATTCATTTTTATATTTGTATTTGTATCCATTATTTGTATTCATATAATATTGAATTACTAGATGGGAAACCAGGAAGAACTGTTAGATTAAGTAGGATAACTATTGCAGAAAATGTGTAAGGCAATATGGCATTTTTTAAATGGAAATTGGGAGGAGAATGAGAATAATGGCTTTCACCGGAAAAATGATATTTTCCTGATGATAGACTTTTCAGGTCTCAGACTGGAAATGGGATTCCCATAGTCTACAGAGGAATACCATTTCCATCATTAAAAACATTTTTTTGGAATATAGCCTTAGTGATCTGGGAACTCCACAGCCCTAGCTTCTGGAATGATGAGGTCATTTGCATGTGGCACACTTCAAAACTATTTTGGCAAACACAAAAAGTATTATGTCTCCCAACACAGAATTAAAACATTGTCTACAAACTTTATTTTTAATTAGCATTAAAACACTGAAATGACTGCTTCTAGTTAAAAACACATGTAAATACATCCCAAAACCATTTACTAAGCACTGTTCTACTAGACAATGTAGTTTTTGTTGAACAAGTTAAAAATAAATGTATACTGTCTGTTACACCCTATTTATGCATATCAAAGAAAATTAATTTCTGTGTGTGAGAGAGAGAAGGGAGAGAGAGAGAGAGAGAGAAATTAGAAGTGTTCTGTTTCTGTATCTGTGGTGTCAAAACTAAAGTCATAAATGGGAACCATTATAAGTTTTATTTGATTTTTTTAATAAAGCCTTAGCACAATTAGATTTCAGCTCCCTGGGACCAAGTCTCACTGATCTCAATGGGATTTATTTCTATGTAAACACATATAGAATTGCAGCATAATTTTAAAAAATGAAATTCAGGTCTGTCTTAGCTCATTGGTTTAATTATCCTGGATTTTCATCTCAAAGTTACCATACTTTCAGTGTAAAGAGCTGGCTTAGTGCATTGGAATCTGTATTATTGATACATAACATATATGAACATTTCCTATTGAACTTGCTTTTTATGAAGTTTTATAGCAATTATAGTGAGTGGCATTGCAAGTGAGTAACATATGGTAATAATGATAATTACGAAGTTTCTGCCATTTTCTTCCTAAAAGACTTGCAAAGAGTAGCCCAAAATCGAGTAAATTTGTGTAGTTACATTAAATTAACAAACTTGAAACTAATGCTTTATTATTAACTTACTTGTAAATTGCAACCTAGATTTCTAAATTTGCAATATCATACTTATTGCTCCAGATAATTAGGATGATATTTTTTTACCCCCACCCTCATCCCTCATGAATAAACCTGGTTTTTGCATTTATGGCAGTATCTAATTGATCTTAAACAGGGCCAAATGTAATCTGAAGGCTGTAAGCTTGCCTGGAAAATCAGAGTCAACATCACTGGCAAACCAGTTCTTTATTGGTGCCAGTCTAGACATCATGAGTTGATACCTGAGTTTTCTGATCAGTATGATCTAAGAAATTGGAAACCTTCAGCAGTTAAAAGTTTGGGGGGGGGCAGGAGTGAAATACAAACCTTATCATTACTTATCCAACTGAGATTTTTTTCACTTTGCAGCCAGTTCACTTCTTCACCTCCTGCTTAACCTCTGTATATCTTGAAAGTTGATTCTTTATGATGTAGCATAATGTTTTTACACTTTGTAGGAAGGTGGGCAATTACATTTATAGTTTTCAAAGTCTTCATTTACTTGCATTTGATAGCAATAGAAAAAGATTCCAGCAAATGAAGAAAAAGTATATTTTCAACAAACATAGAGATGGAGCAAAATATTGGAAACCACGCAAGATTTCCAAGCTGTGTTAAAAAGTTTTCAGGCAACATTTTCGAAAGTCCATAGCAGTACTCTTCAAAGTGAATTTGATGTATTAATGTTGACTTCATCATGGCAAATTTTCCAATTCGTTTAGTAAGCAGAGACTAGCAAAGCTGGGGAAGTGCAAGTTCTGAGCAGGAAGGGTCTCCATTTCAGATGAACTTTGAAGAAAGGAAGGGCCAGCTCCAATTTGGCCTTCCTTCTTTTGCTTTCCTTCTAAAGAAATGTTTGGTTTCTCAGGTAAGATAATTTCAGGGATAACCTGAGAAGGCTTGGAAAAGCTGAAGGAAATAGCTATTTTACATGAATATGGAGCTAGCGTTATGAATCAATAGCAAACATGCATGAGCTGTTATTGTTATCCTTGGGTTTATTTTTTCTACCTTCACTTGTAATTATTTCCTCCTGACCAAAATCTGGGTCTGGGCTAGCTAGAGAAGACCAAAGAAGAGAAGAAAACTGGTTCAATTTTCTCCTCCTGGAAGAGGGTGATGGTGAAAAAAGGAATGGGGGAAGGGTTTAAGAAAGGATTGGTTCCCTTCCACTTCTATAGTCATCATGTTGTCACTTCTTCATCTTTAGTCTCTGGGTATAAATCTTGTAAACTAGGATAAATCTTTCTAGATATCAGTGTATATTGTTTTATTTCAAAACTATTTGGCTGAGTGAATCTACTGACTTCTGTCGCACATTCAGATCATCGAGCACCACTGTTGACATATTTAGGCATTATCGTATATGTACATATATTAATTACAGTGTAATTAAAAAGAGGGTATTTATGTGAAGACAATGTTTTGTTTGATTATATCTTATGTCTTAATATTGCTTGACATCTACAAGCAAGGACTGAGAGAAAGCATGTGAGTTCTAACAAAGTTAAGTTGGTTAAAAGTTCTTACAATTGCAATCCCCCTGAATAAAACAGTGTGTGTGTCTGTGTATTCATGTGCATCTTAAAAGTCTTTGTTGATTCCTGGCACCACCTGGACTAGTCCCTGCAGTTTTCTTGGCAAGGTTTTGGAAATGGTTTGCCATTGCATCTTTCCTAGGGCTGAGAGAAAGTTTCAGGCCCAAGGTTTCCCAGCCAGCTTTGTGCCTAAGACTGGACTAGAACTTACAGTCTCGTGGTTTCTGCCTTAAACCACTACACCAGCACAACCATTCAAGGATGCCTTGAATAAAAATCAAACAGCAATAATAAATTATTTAATTCATAATTTTAATTTAATTACAATTGTAATTTATACATAATTAAACCCAACACTGAGCTGATAAAAAAAAATAAAGTCCAGTTCCAATTTGTCACTGCCTTTTCCCATGTATTGTATTTTTACTTCCATGTTTAGCCTGACAGCCCTGGGATTCCACTACTAACCAGGTACAACTTAGAGCCGAGGCGAGGCCGAGCAGGTGCTTCTGCACTTTCCTAATTAGCCTAAACTAACTGCCACTTCACTCAAGCTCAGAGTAGGGCCGGCGGAGGTTCCCTTCCCCGGGTGACCCAGCCCGGGTGGGAGTGAGGCCATGGCCAAACCCCCCTTCGGTCTGTAACTCGAGCGGCGAGGGGTTATTTTAAAATGAGGAACCGGAGAGGCTTGCGGAGCGGAGCAACTAGATTGTTGATGTTTCCGGGTTTAGATAAACAAAGGGAGGAGGAGGAGGATCTCACAGACAGGCAGCGATAGCGAGATAAGGGAGCGAGCGAGCCGCGCTCGTCAAAGGTCACGTTGCACCGACCCGAGGAGAGGCTGCCTGGGCGTCCTGGGACCTTTCAATTACAGAGGCGGCCGGGGTGCCGGATTGCGGAGAAGCCGGCGCGACCCCGAGGCCGCGAGTAGTTCCCTTGCCGGGCTAGCCAGCAGCCGGTCGCCCGCAGCGCTCCCGCCGCAACAGGTGTCTGCGGGAGTCTGGGTGGGGGTGGAGCGGACATTCCACCCCCTGGGCGCTGGTCGCCGTGCCTGGCCTCTGCCCGCCGAGCCATGAGCGGCCTGGAGGAAGATCCCGAGTTTGATTTCGATTTCCTCTTCGAGTTTAACCAGAGCAACGAGGCTACCGGCGGCAAAGGTTGGTGACGAGGCAGCAGCGGCCGCCCTCGAGGGAGACGGGACGGGGACCGGCGCGCGAGGAAAGGGGAGGGCGGAGAGCCGTTTATTTGCAGCTCGAGCGTTAAATATAGCGGTTCTTCTGGGACGGGAAAGAGCCGTCTCCACAATAGGCTGAGCCTGGGGACGGGAGGGAGGGAGCGCGAAGCGCCGCCCGTTGCTGGGCTTGAGGCGTCGTCTCGCTTGTTTCGCCTTCGACGCTCTCCCGCTCCCCCCCCCACCCCCGAAGCCAGCGGAGCCCTTGGGGAGTAGCTCGGATTTGGGGGTGTTTCACCTCCCTACTTCTCAAAGGGCGAGCAGAAGCACAGTCCTCCTCAAGGGCTTGGGAAGATGGGCTGGAAATGAAGCGGAAAACCCCTTTGCCTTCGTGTTGTTTGCGGCCCCGGCTTTGCGGGTTCCTCTTTAAAAAAAGAAAGGAAAAAAGAAGCCTTCCTCCACTGCAAAAATGAACAATTCCAGCACATGTTACTGTTTTTCTCGACACTTGAAGGGGAAACTGGCCGAACTCTTGCCAACTTTACCCGGTCCAAACCAAACCTAAGACAGTTCTCTGTTCCATCAAGGAACTTATACTTAACAAGTCCACCGTGACACTTCAGTAGTAGACCTGCCTGTTGTCATTTTATATATTTAGATTATATATACTGTTTCGTTAAGAAAGGGCCCAGTCCTTCATGCTACTGCTCCAGGGTGGAAATTTGTTTTCTAAAAGCCAGGTTTTCTATCGTTCAGCTTGGGAACTTGTAAGAAAAAATTGCGGGGAGGGGAGGGGGGCGTTAGGAAACAGCAAGCAAGGGGTGGCAGGTTCCCATTAACTACCCACCTAGGGTCTTATGGATCAGCCTTGAAGTTCTGTAGGATGAGACTGGTTAAAAGCATATGGTGTTCCTTGGACCTGTGTCCTAAATCAGGTGGTTTGCCAAATCTGCAAAAGGAGACTAGGGGATGGAAATCTCATGCAGGGTCCAGAGACAGAGCAGATTGTTATTCCTGCATTGGCTTTCAACAAGGGAAGAACTGTAATAAACGGGTATTTATTTATTTATTTATCTTTACTCCCCATCTCACTACAAGGCAACTCTAATATATAGATTATAAATATCCCCTCAGGTTGCCTTTTAAATCCCAGGATGTGATGAAATTCAACTGGAGTATGAGAGTTAGATAAACAATATACGGTAATGTTGGTTTTTACAGCCACATAAGTGGAGGTGATCCTATATGAATTATGGTTTGGAAAGATTTCTTTTGCAAAGCTGTAATTATGTAGACTAGTACCTGGATCCACCAAGCCTTTGGATTCCAATCCCATTTTAGCCTTTGTATATTTCTAGTGGCTGTCTAGTGGCATTAGTGTAATTGGATACAGAAAAACAATCTTGAAAGTTTCTTGTTTATATAACTTATATGTGTATGTGTGTATGTATGTATGTATGTATGTATGTATATCCCAGTATATTTCCTTCCTAATCCAGACTGCATTGGGCATTTAGAAGGTAGGTTGCACTGCATTCTGAGCATGAAATTTCCATATTACAATGCAGCTGACACAAAGAAGGTGTACAGTTATATGGACCTAATTCATATAACTTGCAGATTCTCTATTTTGAGTCAGAACTCCTAAGAGGCACAAGTAACTTGGAAGGGTTTTTTAAAATGTTGCTTTGACTACAGTAATTGAGCTGGAACTTTTCAGTATTACTACTCCAACAAAACTAACTTTTTTTAACTGGGGGGGGGAGGGGTTTGCCCAAATTCACTTTCAGGAGTTGTGGAATCACAAAGTTGGAGAGTGGGTGATAATAACCTAATCAGTCAGTATATGATGGTGCAATCAGGCTGGAAAGTAATTGAACAATATACATAGCTCTGAGAATGCAATAGATAATAGCTTGTTTTATGGCTATTCTATTGTAAATGAAATAGATTTTTAGTCAAGTTCCCCAGGTCTGTTTTACAAAAGCCCTATTCAGAGGTTCTAAATCCTGCAAATATTAAGTGTGAATGGAGTTGTCTGTTCCAACTTCATCTGCCAAGTACTGCTGCCTTCTACCATCTGGGAAGGCATGGAGTAGAAAAATGGAGATAATCCTAATTCCATTAGGCCATATATTTTTTCTTATTTTATTCCAACTATTTTAGTGTATTTAAAAAAACCAGGAAATGCACTTGACATTACCCATAAAATAATATTTGACCAGGAATGGTACGGGAATTGAATATACATATATTAATTGCATCCACACACACTCTTTATAAAATGCTACAGTGTAAAAGTATTGTATAGGCTTGTTTGTATCCCGCTTTCTTTACCTTCTTTGATGGATACCTCTTTCCTAACTATTGTCCATTGTAACTATTTTAAATTAGAGAAGACTCCGTGCTGTTCATCCAAAAACTTGTTCTTCTGTTAACCCCTGTACAATAGATTTAACATTTTCCTAGATTTTACGCCATGAAGGTAAGCCTTCAGCAATGCAACCATTATCCAATAATGTTTCTTTCCTGGGATATATACATGCTATTGACAAGTGTGACTGTGGCTGTTAGAAGAAATGTAATTTTAGACCTCTTCAGATATATATATCAATTTGCCCTAAATATGCCTTTTTCCATGTATGAGACCGTGAATCTCCCTGTAATGCACACCAATCTTTTCTATGACTTCTTTGGGGGAATGAATAAGGGTATCTACATAGGAAAGTAACATTGTCCACAAAGAAACAGAGGTATAGTGTGTAAATCGAGGGTGGCAAAATGTGAGTCTGATCTGCTCCTGGAAACAATTTCAGGAGTTGGTAAGTGTGTGAAAAAGGTTGAAAGTGCTCTTCCATGTATGAATTTTGCTGCCATTTCTTCTCATAATGACTGACATTCTGTGTGGGTTTTTGGCTGAGGGTAATCTTTGAGTCATTTCCTGCTTTCTGTGTAAGTCAAAATATTCTGTGCAAACAGTGTATAAGCAATTATGCCTCAGTAATTTAGAATAGTATCTACAATGGGTTTAGATGGAACACCAAGCAGGAAAGAGAAAAAAACCCTGTTTTATTTGTGCTGCTCCACACCTGGATATTAATGGGCATATTTTGGTAAATAATAGACGTATAATAGGTGTTGAATGTACTAATGGTGTTTAACATGAAAAAAAGAAGAGGCACCAAATGTCATGGAGCTACTTCTGTAGCAGCTGGAGTAATATTGTATGTCCTTTGTCAACATTGTCATTTAACTAGTAGAGGAACATTGGAGTTCAGTTGGGAATAGAGCCATGCTCATTAACGGAGCTTTTCCGGATCTCAATGTATATGTTAGGGGAGTGACATCGCCTGGAGCATTTGCCTCTGGAGGGGAGAGGAAGGAAGCAAACATTATATGTAGAGGAAGTGAGGGGACGCCTTGCCTTTTTGCTTCAATCACTCAAGAATTCTTAAAAAGCAACTGAAGCCGAAGGCATGTTGAAACTTGAGGCAGAGTTGATAACAAAAAAATGACACGCAAACGGTGGGAACAGTGGAAATGGCAGTATATTGTTTGTAGCGGATTCGTGGCCACCACCTTTATGAATACTTGGGATTGTTATAACTCTCATTCAGACTTTTTGGAGAAATTGTGTATATGCAAGCGTGCAGTATCACATGCACATGGAAAAGAAAGGATAGAAAATGTAAGTCCAATTGGTCCAAGAACTAGCTGTTATGACTCTGTGTTGAGTTGCTCAATAGAATAATGCACCTTTTCACAAGGATCATGGAAAATTGTGTGTGCTTCAGAAAGAATAACAGCATGGCTCAGAGAAAAACTGCAGCATGTTGAATTTTGCCCTCTTTTTTTGCTCATTCTTCCTCCTTTTATTGGTCAGCAATGTAGCTCAGCAGTACAGAATCTCACAACATAAATGTGTTCATTACCACAAAGGTGAGAGGACTTCAACATGGAAAAAGAGGGTGAAATTAGATTATATGCTGTGTTAAAGCACAATTGATTTCCACTAAGTTTAGTATATTAAAAACACATAATTACTCAAATTTAGCTCAGCAGATGAAATTTAGCAAATGTAAAAAAAAAAAAAAGATTCAACATTCACATCAGTATTTAAAAGCACTTCCCTCTCTTGTGCATTTTATAAATTGGAGTCAACTTCTTGTAGTAAATAACTCATTTAAAAATAAAAAAGATAGATGCCATTTTTGGCAAGAAGAGAATTGATAAGAAAAGATAGCAGAGCAATATTGTGCAATATTGAACAATATTTATATTGTTTTGTTTGATGTAGAGTAGCAAAAGAATAAAGGGGAGATAGGGTTGTGATGGTTGTTTTATTCTATGGAATCTGTTAGACTTATCTGTGGAAGTCTTTTCTTCTCACCAGTCATATATTATACGTAGGATTGGCCACTTTTCTGGTGGTTGGAAGCCTACTGCATTTTGAACCAATTTTAACTTCCAGGTGGTAGCTATAGTTCCATGATAGAACACAATGATAGCTCTACGAAGAGCACATTGCAATAATTCAATCAGAGGTGAGCAGGGCATGAATAACTGTCTGAAGGCCCTCTTGAACAAGGGAAGGGTAACTGATGCACAAGATGAACCTGTGCAAAGACCCTCCTGGCCACAACTGCCACTGACTCATAGCTATTGTTCTTTGTAGCTGTGAGTCCAGAAAAAAAAACCAAGTTGCACACCAGTCTTGAATCGGGAAGCTGTTGTCTTTTGCACAACCTCCCCAAATTCAACAGAAAAGGATGCAACGCTGACCTTTTGAAGAAGGGTTTTCCTTCAAAGCTGGTGGGAGCAACCCTTCTCTCCGTGAGCATGAAAGCGCTATATGGATCCATCCTATGGTCACCTTCCAGGCTGCCTTAACACCCCAGGAGGATCCAGATGGTCAAACTAACAAAATTGAGGACTTTGTCTTTTTCCTTGAGTGTAATAAAAACCGATGTTTTGAGGGTACCAAGAAAGGTTACTTGGATAATTTCCATTCTCTTTGCTCAATTCAGAAAGAGTCTGCCAAGAGCAGTTTGTAGCTTTGCTGGGGGTGCAAGATGAATCACTGCATTCTTCTTTATCCCAGCATATCCCTGTCTTCTTTAATGAACTTCCATGGCCGAGGGTGGACTTAAACCCAGAACTAATTGATCCTAATCTGTTCTTGAATGGCTAAATGACACTAGCTCTTAGCCATCTTTGAAATGGTTAAGATAGGCTTTGATTCCAAAGAAAACTAGTATAATCACTGGATCATGAAAGGGATTCCGCTTACTAATAAATTAATTTGTGTCTATGTGCAATATCTCATGTCTTTTCTTGTTCTTTTTTTATCTTTTTGCAGAACATTATAACTATGCATCTTCAAATATAAACTCAACTTTGCCTCTAAATGTGGCCCATTCTTCACTGCCAACTCCATGTCACGGTCTTCAAACGTCTATTCCAGTCATTCCAAATGTCTCATCAGCTAACCATCTATCAGGTTATGGAGGGCATGCTGACAACAGCACTGCTGGATATTATTTGCCTCCAAGTGTCCGACCTAATGGCGTGCCAGCCTTAGAAAGTCCTAGAATTGAAATAACCTACTTAGGACTACATCAAAACAACAACCAGTTCTTCCATGAAGCGGAAGTTGATGAATCCACCCAAAACACCAAGAGATCGCCTTCTACTGCTACTTTGAATTTACCAAACATTGAGGCTTACAGGGACCCATCTTGTCTGAGCCCAGCCAGTAGCCTGTCTTCCAGAAGTTGCAATTCAGAAGCATCTTCCTATGAATCAAATTATTCCTATCCTTATACTTCACCCCAGACATCTCCTTGGCAATCGCCGTGCGTATCACCCAAGACCAATGAAACTGAGGAGAGGTATCAGCGAAGTTTAGTTCCCTGCACACTCCTTAATTCACCTCGACATTCTCCTTCCACATCTCCCAGAACAAGTATTACTGAAGAAAACTGGCTGAGCTCTCACAACTCCAGACCATCCTCTCCCTGTAATAAGAGAAAATACAGTTTGAATGGCAGGCAGACATCCTACTCTCCACATCACTCCCCCACCCCTTCTCCCCAGAATTCTCCAAGGGTCAGTGTGACTGATGAGACATGGCTGGGAAACACTAACCAATATACCAGTTCAGCCATTGTTGCAGCAATCAATGCCCTCACTACTGACAGCACAATAGATATGAATGATGGGATTCCTATCAAGTCCAGGAAAACTGCAGCAGATCACACTCCCTCCATGGCACTCAAGACGGAACCTAGTGGAGATGATCAGGGGACCATATCACCGATTACCGATTTATCACCAGAAGAGTTTCCTGGGTTCCAGCACATCAGGAAAGGAAGCTTCTGTGATCAGTATCTTTCAGTTCCACAGCACCCCTATCAGTGGGCCAAATCAAAGCCTTTGTCCCCAACATCATACATGAGGTACAGTTTCGTTAGATGTAATCTTGAAAAGAAAAGTCTTATTTTCTCTTTTGCTTTACCTCCTTTGGCAATAATGCCTTTGTTTTTAGTACTTCAAACACGGTAGTCATAGACAATTAGAATGATTTTTATAGTGTTATGTTTTTGCTTTTGTTACATGGTATGCTACGATTCATTTGGTTGGTAAAAGCAAATTCAAACCAATTTCTCTAGATTCTTAGTATCCGTTTATTTCCTATCTGGGATTTTAAAAAATCCCAAATCAAAACAGTTGCTTTTACAAACTTGAAAATAGATGGTGAATGCTTGATTACAAGGGGAATATAGCATGCAATCTAAAATAGAATTGCAGTAATAGTACAGGCTTACTTTTAGCTTTTCTTGTGATACTTGTTCCTATTGTAACAGTTTGAAAGCAAAAAAAAAGGAAATATTTCATTTCTGTTTTAATTGTTACTGATTTGCATGGGTTATGTTTGTATTCGTCTTTTTATAGTATGTTGGGCTGGTTTATAAAAGTGGGTGATTTTGTTTCAAAATAATCCTTATCAGCCCTTAGCTGATACGTTTAGCTGATTTAGTTTTATACCAATGTAAAACATTAAAACAATAAATAGTAGCATTAAACTTGATTTAAAACTGACAAAGATGAAGAGGAAGGGAGCAAGGTGTTCATAAGAAGGAGATGAGATCTATTTAACTTATTTACTGTCTCCAGCATGACATTCCCCTATTGGGGCCACTGTCCAATTGGCAGAGCTAGGTCTTCAGGCCCTTTCAGAAGACTAAAAGGATGGGGGTGCAGATCTCACTTAGGGGAGTGGGAAAGGCATGATGTCCCAGAGGGTGGGAACCACAGCAGAAAAAGCTATTCTCCTGGATCTTGCCAGCTGGAATTTCTTGACCAATGGGGCTTGCAGCATGCCCCTTCTGCTGGCACGGGTGGGGCGGATTAATCCCACTGAGGTGAGATAGTCTGTCAGATAATCTGGATCCATGCCATGAAGGGCTTTAAAGGTAAAAACCAATACCTTGAATTAGACCCCAAAGCAAACTGGTAACCAGTGCAGCTCATGAAACAGTGGTGTAACATGGACCCCAAGAATTATCTGCGCAGCTGAATTCTGTGTGAGCTGTAACTTCCAAATACTCTTTGAAGGTAGCTCCATGTAGAGTGTGTTGCAATAGTCGAATCATGAGATGACTATGGCTTGATTGACTTAGCTTAGGGACTCTCAATCCAGGAAAGGGCACAACTGGTACAATACACAAAATTGCGCAAAGGCTCTCCTAGCCAGGACTGTCCCCTGCCCTTAGAGCAAGAATCACGAGTCTAGGAGAACCTCCCAAGTTGCACACTGGTATGTCTGGGACAGTGCAATGCCATCCAGAACTAAAGACATTAATGTCCCAGAGCCCAAAGGTGCATGTATCCAAAGCCACTTGGCCTTACCAGGGTTCAGCAGAAGTCTGTTGTCCCCTATCCAGATCCCTACAGCCCCCAGGCATTGCGAGAGGGCAGTGGCAGCATCACTGGTGATTGTTTCAAAATAATTTTATTTGACTTCTTTCTTTCCTAGTATGAGTTTTATACATAATCATTAAAATAAGATAATTCTGGCCTGCAGTCCTACATTGAGTTATCTACAGGGTGTGGTCAAAAGAATCAAGAAGGTTACAATGGTACAGTTGAAGCGCCACCTGCTTTTTATATACATTGCCACTACCTGGACGTTTTTTTAACCATACCCATTGGTCATTCTTGCCTACATTCAAAAAAGTCATAGCATAAAAGTATGGTAGGAAGAAATGAAAAGGGAAGAGATGAAAGAGCAAATGAGGCACCAAGTTTTAAATCTGAAATAAAAATGATTCAAGGAGAGGAGGAACTGGATAAAATTAGCCTTTCTGCAGAGCTCACGGAATCCTACTCTCCATCTCCTCCAGTGTAATGTGAGCAATAATATAATAATAGAAAGATAACATGCAAAATAAAAGAAAAATTAAAACACAGACCTTAACACTATGTTGCTGTGTATGTTGTCTTGGTTTTTGGTGTTCTGTTTGTGTATATAATGTCCAACTCCCTGAAGACATATTAACATAACAACATGCATACACACAGCTGTAACTTTTACTCCATGAAGCTCATGTCTTATGTCTACTATTTCAGACATTGTTTTGCAATTTTGCAAGCGGAGAAAGGTAGCAGCATTTTGAACTTTCTTTCTTTCTTTTTTTGCATGTGATAATAAAGGACAGTGGTCCTTTGTTGTATGCAAAGTTATCATGCTGTTCTATGTTTTTGAACACTAGTCAAGAGTCCAATAGCAGTTACATGTTGTAAATTCTCTTGTACGCTTGAGAAAAAAGAAGTGGTAGAAATGTCTGAAAGTAAACAAAATTAATTGTGGCTTTGAGATAGCCCAATTTTTTGATACCCCCAGTGATGAGACAATTGCTTTCAATGCCCTGAAAAGCTTTGGTCCAAAGGCAGGACTGTTGAAGTAGCCCTGTCTCCAGTGGCAGTCAAAACATTGGTGCTGGAGATTTGATTTTCTAGAGAAAAACTGTACAAGAGAAAAGATTAAGAAAACTTTCTTTTTCTGTGATTCTGGTCTTTAGTGTGGAGCTGTAACTTTTCAGCAATTGTCTTGCACAATTAGCATTTGCTCAATTACCTTTATGCAGGACTGCCATATTCATTCACCTTTCTATCTGTTCTAATGATGTTATGTCCCTTCTTGCATCCATCAATCTAAGGTTCCTATAATCAGATTATAATTTGATTAAATATGTATGTATGTATTGCTGCTGGGTGTCCATGGGTGAAGGTTAAAAAAGTAAAAATGGTTGGTGCAATGAAAGTCTTTGCAAACACATCCCTTTAATGTGTGTTCCATACATGTAAAAAAGAGCTGGAACTTTGATCATGTTGATACATCAGTGATCTTAACATTTCTGCACACTCCCTCCAGATGCCCTTATGCAGCAGAGCTGAGACATTATGATACCATGTAATGTGGGTGACATTAAGGTTTCCATGAGGCATAGAGTTTTATATTTTTGGAAAGGCTGGTTCCTTTTTTCAGGTGCATAAATCCTGCTGGAAGAATATTTCTGTTGTTTGCTTTTATCTGAAAAAAAGCAGGAGATCACACATCTGTGATTTGGTGAATTGTTATAGAGGTGTGATTACTAGGTTTTAAGGCCTCAGAAAGGGAATGCATCCAACTCAAGTTTAATGTATCAGACAATGCAATCTATTTTTATCTCATCCTTTTGAAGTGTACATGAGTCTGTCTAAAACTGGCATGTGATCTATTTAAGATAGGAGTAAACATTCAGAACATAGCATTTCAAATAAGTGAACAATTATTGGATATATAAATATTTTTTTCTTCCTGCAAATCTCATAGTACCAGTCCATTCCCATGCCTTATTCTACTAAGTCCTAGGACTTTCTAGGTGCAGAGTATATGGGCAATAATATATAATATGTGTATCAATATGGTGGTATCTGTAGTGCCAAAATGTGAGGAAATGTATATATCTAACATTTGCTTAGGTTATAAAGCTTAAGATTGGGTTTAAAGAGTTTTAAGCCACTTCCCCCAAATTTACATTAGTTGAAAAAAATAAGGTTTGCACATGTATTTTAAACATCAGGAAAAATTGTATGAACACATAAATCTTTTATCATTCACTAATTTACAGAAAAAAGTTTTTCTTTTGTTGTTTTAAATACCACATGGAATTAAAATGAAAACAGCAATACCCAGAGTGATAATGACAATAATTGCATTCCAGTATTATGCATATAATATTTTTCCACTAGTTTGCTTTTGTGTAAAAAATGTGTTTCCTGATATTTTTTTTCAATATGTTTCCATGTGTTCTCATTAACTTGTGCTCCAGGACATCTGGAAGCTACTGTAAAAGTCTGATTTTACCAATCTGATGCCCTGAACCTAGTTTCCTGTAACCCATGAATGCCTTTCATTTTATGTATGTAAAAAAGCTGAAGTGAGATGTCAGCACAGTCATAAGATGCAGGCTTGAAATTTAGTATTTTAAATATCCTAGCAAAAGGTAGCCATTTGTCATAGTATATTTGGAATCACTCCCTGCTCCTGGATTATTTTAAGTGTCTGTTCTGTTTCAAAGTCTAGGTTGAGTTCCAACAAATAATACAGATTCCGATATCCACCCTGTCATGAGGTTTATTTGCCAAAACTATTATATTACCTCCTTTGTCTTTTCCAGAAAAAAAACTTTAAAAGGTTATTGGAAAATTCCTAAATTAATAGTTTTTTTTTAACATAGATCCTATGATGGTATGAATAATTAATTTAGCCAATATTATTTGACAACAGCTATCTTTATTCAAAGAGAGTTCGCTGTTGAATATAAGATTATAGATCATTACAAATGCCTCATTCCCAATCACTTAGTAAAATTAGTGCTACTTGCACTTTATTCATGGATAAGTGACATACAAGCATTTATTCCTGATATAATGGGAGGAGAACACTTTTATGGGAGCCAAAAGTCAGCAACTGAGCCAACTAACTCATTTTATTTGTTATGAAAGGTTATTCCTCTATATAACATATGTTAGTCAGATAAAGTGCTACCAGATTTTACTTTTAATTCCTTAAGTAATCGACTGAGTGCATCTATAATTAGTTTAAAATAGAAAGTTTTTAAAAAATTAAACAAACTGCAGGGTTGCAGGGTTTCAAGCAAGTTCACCATGTTAGTTACAACATAATGTTTTCTGAGATATTAACTGAGCACAACTATGGTTTTCAAAAAATAGAAGTTTCATAGTCACTCTGTAGTCCCTCGGTTATACGAAAGTGGCTTCAGTATTACGACCTGGGAAGACTACCAACTGTAGTCAGTCACTGCAATCTGAAAAACGTAAAGAAGGAACTGCCACCTAATTCTTCAGAGCCATAATAATCTGTGGATTCTCATTGCACATTTGGCATTTA